TCTTGAACTTAATTTTGGTGATTAGAGATTGAATTATGTCCGGGTCATACCCGTTGTTAAATGCAATTTGTTTAAGTATATTTAATTCTTGAAGATAATTAATTTTATTTAGAGGAATTGAAAGAAGTCTATGAATATAGCAATAGAAAGCAGACATTTTATGTTGGTAGGGGTGATTTGAGGAATAGTGTATCACGTGGTCTGTTTGGGTGGGTTTTCTATATATGCTAAATTCGAATTTGTTACCCTGTCTATAGACAGAAAGGTCCAAAAAGTTCAAACAACATTCTTTTTCGGCTTCCAGAGTGAATTTTATATTAGGATGAATAGTGTTAATTGAGTTTAGAATATTAGAAGCCGTGTTGGCGTTACCATTTATTAAGCAAAAAATGTCATCGACGTATCTGTGGTAGATTAAAATATTTTGTGATAAGCACAAGTTTCACAAAATTTCTTTACTTTTAACAATATCACCTACGAACAACCGGATGGCCTTGCCATGGGATGTGGCCTATCTCCTTTAATCGCTGATATCTTTATGAATCATTTAGAAACTAGTTACATTATTCCACAACATAAAAATATTTTAATCTACCACAGATACGTCGATGACATTTTTTGCTTAATAAATGGTAACGCCAACACGGCTTCTAATATTCTAAACTCAATTAACACTATTCATCCTAATATAAAATTCACTCTGGAAGCCGAAAAAGAATGTTGTTTGAACTTTTTGGACCTTTCTGTCTATAGACAGGGTAACAAATTCGAATTTAGCATATATAGAAAACCCACCCAAACAGACCACGTGATACACTATTCCTCAAATCACCCCTACCAACATAAAATGTCTGCTTTCTATTGCTATATTCATAGACTTCTTTCAATTCCTCTAAATAAAATTAATTATCTTCAAGAATTAAATATACTTAAACAAATTGCATTTAACAACGGGTATGACCCGGACATAATTCAATCTCTAATCACCAAAATTAAGTTCAAGAAAATTCAAAAATTAGCCTACCCCAATTTAAGTCACATTAATAATTTTTACATATCAATCCCCTTCTGGGAAAATAACTTAGCTAAGAGCATTTCAAAACTTTTTGCTAACAATGTAGATAACATCAAAGTATCTTTTAAATCAATTAATAAACTAGACTCCCATCTAGTCAACACAAAAGACAAAACGAATTTGTTAGATAAGAGTGGAGTATACAGGTTGCAATGCAGCGATTGCGATGCCAGTTATATCGGCAGAACTTGTAGATCTCTGGGAGTCCGGATAGGCGAGCACATCAAGAAGCCGGACACATCTGCATTCGGACATCACTTAAGGTTCAATCAACATAATTTCAGCCCAACAAAAAACTCCAAATTATTAGTTAACTTAAACACAAAAAATTTCAATCTATTAGATTTTCATGAAGATGTTGAAATTACTCTCGAAAGAGACAACAATATACTCTGTCTCAACACTCAAGTGAACCTTAACAGAAATTTCATACCACTCCATAGACAACTCAGTTAACCCTCTATGATGATGTAGGTCCGAGTCACCCATCACAAGCCTTCGAGAGCCACCCCCTCCTAAACTCGATTTCACCCATCAGAGCCTACCTTTGGGACCATGGTACTCCTTTGTTTAAAACTTTTTTGTTCTCTATTTTGTCTCTTTTAACCATGAGTACGCTTGTTGAGTGATTTAGTAATTTTTAGGACTAAACATCAGATTCACCTTCAGGGACCGCGGGTTCAGTTGTGCCATCTTGGGTTCTCTGAAAGAATGTTCTGCAGAGCCCGGGCTGACACATCTGAATCACGCGAGTGACATTTTTGTTTTGTCTTGACATCAAAATAATAATATCTTTTATATTAAACATTTATCTAAATTTAACTAACAATAAATTAAATCTTTAAATTCAATAACAAATTTTGTTTGTTTGTCTGTTTAAAACTTTTTTGTTCTCTATTTTGTCTCTCTTAACCATGAGTACGTTTGTTGAGTGATTTAGTAATTTTTAGGACTAAACATCAGATTCACCTTTAGGGACCGCGGGTTCAGTTGTGCCATCTTGGGTTCTCTGAAAGAATGTTCTGCAGAGCCCGGGTTGACACATCTGAATCACGCGAGTGACATTTTTGTTTTGTCCTGACATCAAAATAATAATATCTTTCATATTAAACATTTATTTAAATTTAAATAACAATAAATTAAATCTTTAAATTCAATAACAAATTTTGATCTCCGTCAACCTCCAATCACTCGAATCACACTCGGAGAAACATGTTCCACACTGAGGTGAACGCACCTCCTTCTGTTGACATTTGACAAGTCAAAGTCTTCAAGTGTCGCTTGTCACCACTGTTATGTGGAAACGGTTAAACAACTTGAACCAAAATGAGATAAATTTAAATTTGAAAATATTAATATTAATAAAATTATGATTTAGCAAGGTGTAAACATCCCGAAATTTATAATTTTGGGAGTGAGGATGACCAGGAACTTGTTGGATACGTTGTGGACAGTAGGTAGACTTTTTCATAATTATAATGTATATAAAACATATAAAAAAACCTTCAGTTTTTTTTTTACTTTGGCCTTCTGCGTTTTACTTTCTTCATATCAAATATTGCATTATAGATTCAAATTTAAATATATATTCCACAGTCACCCTCTAATTGTAAATTTCTTTAAATTTTAATTAATTTGTTAACCTTTTTTCAATTTTGTGAATAGTGAGGGTGGCATGATTCCTTAATTCCACACAAGCTAACTTGCTTTTGGAGATCAGATTTGATTTGTAGGGGCTTATCCCACACTCACTATTCCCAATACCAGGTTTTTTGTCACTTTGTCTGTTTCTTGTAATTTTTAATTCGTTCAAACAATTGTATATATACTATTTTAACTTTTGACTTAAAAGTCTAATTCAGATTTTATAAATTTTTTAAATCTTTTTAAATTGTAAGTTTACATCCACAATTTTTGTAGATGAGCACTGATGATGGCAAATAAGCCGAAAGCGCTTTGCATTAATAAAAAAGTTTTGCACGAAATACAAGTTTTTCCTTTTTGAATCTAAACTACGTGCACACAGCTGTCAACCTTTTTTGGTTTTTTTAATTTATAATCTTTTATATGTACTGCAAACCAGGTTTTTAAGTCTGTTGTTGAATCAATGGAAGCACTTTTAGTATGAAAATATTTAAAATCGTTTATTTCCTCATCATTACTTGATTTCTTTACGAATTCTCCACAGAAAGTTGAATTAACTTTAACTATATTAGAAACAATTATTTTTTTTTAATTTCATTTTGAAACAATTGATTTGCATCATTTAAAAATTTGGATAAATCCTTATGTTTTAAATTTATTATTAATCCAGTTTTAATTCTATTTTGAAATATAGATTCAACATCTTCCCATTTTACTCTATCAAATAATTGATTACTTAAACCAGCTCCACTTAATTTTAATTTAATAACCTTTAAATGACTTAAATGTGTTTGCCACATTCTCGCATTACCTACAGAAAAATTATTTGTTCGAATAGCTTCTAAACATAAATTAATGGCTATTTTCACATGTTTGCACCATAATTCTTTTTCTTGAAGAGTAAAGTTTGGATATTTATAATAAAACTTTGTAATTAATGTACTAATATCATTATGTAGTTTTTCTGACATTTTAATAAAATTTTAAAACTTACCTTAACAATTAACAATTTTAAATAAAACTGCAGGATTTCCTTTGCCAGTATCTTTTTCTCCAGTAAAAATTATACATTTGCCGTTTCCTAGTTCAGTAATATGCTGTTTTAAAACTTGGATTGACCTTTGAGGTAAAAATACAGTTTTATCCCCTTCTATGACCAATCGAATTGTATCTCCGTATCTTGAAGAAACTATTTCTGCAGAACTAATTTTGTAAGGAACGTCCTTGGTCAACTCTTTTAATTTTATTATAGGTTTAGGTTCTCCTTCTATAAGAAGATATTTATTTATTTTCGACATATCCATTTTTTCTAAAATTAATCAATTTAAAAATATATATATTTATATATTATTACTAAAAAAAATACCTTTTTTGTATAAATAATCTGAAGATATATACACTTTTGATAAAAATTGATTTATATGTATATTCAAATGCAAAGTATTTTCAGGAGCTATTTATTAACTGAACATATTACACCAATCTGTTTGATATTTATATGTTAATATCGCCTACACAAAAACTGATAAGCATTCATATTGATATTTAAATAAACTTTGACCTTGACCTTAAACCTAACCTTGACCTTAAATTTAACCTTGACTTTAAACTTAAAATTATCCTTGAACCTAACCTTGATCTTATATCAAATCTGTAAATCTTTTTAGTATACTATTGACCTTGACATTGACCTTGGCCTTCGTCTTTCTTTGATCCCGGCCTTGACCTTTACTGAACAAAATTGTATCAATAAACTACCTACTCATTTTTAGGTCATGACCCTGTTAAAGATAATTCAAATTGTCATGTTACTTAGAAATCGCTGCCTGATAATTAGGCAACTCCGAGCGCACGAGATGCGAGCTGAAACGGATGATGCTTCCCGGCCCCCTCTTCTGTGCGAACCTTGAAAGAAGCAACATCTCAGGCAGCTCTCTTCTCGTGCCGCTCAAGTTGTTTTGTATTAAAAGGTGAGTAAAATTTATGTTTATGTTCATTTAAGTTTGTTGTTTTTTGTAGTCCCTAATCCACTTCCTGTCCACTTCCTATCCACGTAAAAAACTGATAACTATATCATGGCGCCCATACGTCTGGCTTTGTAAACAGTGGCTGTTTACACGAACCCTTAATCAGCTTAATCTAATTTTCTTAGGCAATTTTAAACTAATAAAATCAATTCATATATATATAAAAAGGGAATATTACATAGGTATTATAATAATACATTGTAAACGTAACTAATTCAAGATAGGTTAAAATTTTGCTGTTAATTTAAATAACCCTAATTCATTCTTCCATTCTCCGCTGCTTCGCGGACTCGGTGTATTGGCGTTTGAAAAAAAAAAAATTTTCAAGGTCGACGCACACTCTACAATTTTAACTCCATAGGCGTACGTTTATTTTTAATTAATATAAAAAAAAAATGGATAACTGTGATCCGAACGATGAATTTTTTGACTCGTTTGAAACAATGGATGCAATTTCCCAAACAAATCCGTTTCATTCAACAAACAATCCTCCTCTTCATTCAACAAACAATCCTTTTTTGATGAATACTGAACTGGAAATAAATACTTGTAGAGATGTGCCAGGATTAAATATACACAAAACACAAAAACCTGATTTAGCAGACGCATTTTTATCAGCTATACAAATAATAGCAAACAAAATTACAAGTAGCAACGAAGTGCCTTTAGAAATAACCTTTAGTGGTTTAGAAACTGAGGACCCTCTATTTTTTTTACAAGAATTAGAAAATTATTTTAAAAGGTTCAACATCCCACACAACCGACAAGTGCGAATCGCTGTAGGTCAGCTTAAATCAGGAGCTTTAACTTGGTATGCTCCGTATCGAGCACTTTCCGAAGGTTGGGAAATGTTTCGAAGCAAATTTTTGCAACACTTTAATAGTCCTTTCATTCACTCACAAGTGGTAACAGCATTATACGGCCAAAAACAAAAATCAGAAGACGTCGCTATATTCATTTCGCGAAAACGTAATCTTTTTCACAGATTGAATCGGGGCTTAGACGAAAACAACCTAATTCCGATTTTATTAGAACAAATCAGCCCCCAGATTCGTGCTCATTTGCGTACGCATAATTTTTTTAACCTAGACCATATGATACAAATCGCTTCATTAATTGAAAAGGATCTTTCTTCTACATCCAGAACTCCAACAGTTAATAACAACCAACCGAATGTGAATAGACCTCAAACTCCATGCCGGTACTGTGCAGAGTGGCATTTTCACAGAGAATGTCCGAGGAACCCCTCCAGACAATTTACTAATACAAGACAAAACGTTCGACCAGTTGAGCAATCTAGACAAAATCCGGAAAACTCGAACAGGGACGCACGGAATACTGCGAACCTAGCGCCCCTTTCATAAATTCAGTTTACGCAGAAAATGTATCGCTACCCCGTATCAAAACATCTTTTAAATTTTCACATACAGATTCACACACAAACTTACACGCTTTAATCGATTCAGGTAGTGCAATAAATTTGATACATTCCAAGTTTTTTTATTCTTCAATTCCCAGCTTTGAAAAAGATATTGTATTCGGATGTGGAAAGGTACCTATTAGCACTAAAGGATACTTTAATCTCGATTATACCATATTAGACGTAAAATTGACAACTACATTTTTAGTAGTAGACAGTCTTCCTGAAGATGTTATTCTAGGCTTTCCCTGGTTTGAGCAACAACTAGCTGTTATTGATACTACTAGAAAGTGTATTTATTTTGGCACAGAACAGAGACGGACTATTTATTACTTACAAAAATCCGACCAACAACTACCTCAAAATATTACTTTTGCGCTCGATCATGTAGACCCCGATTATAAGTTAGATTTTAAAAAAATGTTGGTTCAATTTCAAGATGTATTTATTGATACTTTAAGACAGCCAATTACTCGAACAGTAAAACATGACATTAGACTTAGTTCAGACAAAATTGTTAATATCAAGCCATACTCGATGAATGACCGAAAAAAACAAATTTTGAATGAACAGGTAACTGAAATGCTTGCAGCTGGAGTTATCGAACCTTCCGTCTCTCCTTACTCTTTCCCGCCCTTAATAATAGAAACTCCTAATAAAAAGCCTAGGTTTTGCGTCGATTTCAGGCGGCTTAATGAGATTACCGAATCCGAAAGTTCAACCTTACCCAAAATTCCAGATACCCTTAAAGAATTGGGTTCCGCTAAAGTATTTTCTACATTAGATTTAAAAAGCGGTTATTGGCAAGTTGCTCTTACAGACCGAGCTAAATATTTATCAGCATTTTCGACCCCAGATGGAGCTCATTTTCAGTTCACTGTCATGGCCTTTGGCCTTAAAAACGCTCCTAACACTTTTCAGCAGTTAATGACGCAAGAGGTTCTTTCCGGTTATCTACACAAATTCACTATGGTATATTTAGACGACATAATCATATATTCAGACTCGTACACAGAACATTTAAAACATCTCCGTTTAGTCCTAGAACGACTTGAACTACATGGTTTACATTGTTCAATAAAAAAATGTCATTTCGGTACTAGTTCATTAACATATTTAGGCCATAATGTTCAAGGTGAACTAAATATGCCACAGATTAAACACTTGGAACAACTACAACATTTTCCACAACCAAAGAATAAAAGAGACATCCAATCCTTCCTCGGTGTATTGAATTGGCTTCGCGAATATATTCCCCGACTTTCGGAAATTGTAGCTCCCCTTACTGAATTATTGTCCCCAAAGCAAAAATGGCAGTGGGGAGAAGAACAACAGAACGCGTTTGACAAAGTGAAATGTGAAGGTAGTAAACCACTTTCCTTGCATAGGCCTGATCCACTATTGCCTTTTGTTTTACAAACCGACAGTAGCATGATAGGAATAGCAGCGGCTCTCTATCAAGAAGGGATCAACGGAGAAAAGCGAATAATTTCATGTGCTAGTGCCCGCCTTAATAGAACCGAACAAAAGTATCATATTAATGAACTTGAATGTTTAGCGATAATTTGGGCTATTAAACGGTATCGAGCCTATTTAGAGGATAATCATTTTAAACTTATTACTGATAGCCGCGCTCTGCTTTGGCTTAATAAAAATATCGATTCCAAAGCCAAACTGACTCGTTGGTCCCTCTTATTGCAGGAATTTTCATATACCATCCATCACTGCCCCGGAAAGCTTAACCAGTTACCTGATTATCTTTCCCGAAATCCAGACAATGAATTTGTTGAAAGCTTTGATCTAGACCGCCTTTTACCCCCTCAAACCACACAAGATCCTGATCCTACAAAGACAAATAATAACGCATCTTCAGAAATGTCTGAGCATAATAGTCCCCACTCAGAAACTCCGCAGGCATCTTGTAATTATGTCGGTCCCTTGAATGAACCATCCTTGTATGCTATAGTATCCGAAGCTCAAATGGAGGATGAAGATATTTGGAAAAATATCTTAATTCAGTATTCAGTTATTGCTATTACAAGTATTTTTCTTTTACAAACCAGTTCTTAATTTTCAATATCTTCCGATTTATGATTTTTTAAAGAAAAAAATTAAACTGATTTTTTTTTTGCAAAAAAAAATTTTTTCAAAAACTATATTTTTTAATTTTTTTATCTGTAGTTAAAGCTATTACAAGTATTTTTCTTTTATAAACCAGTTCTTAATTTTCATTATTTTCAGAGTTAGGATTTTTTAAAGAAAAAATTTATTTGTATGGTTAAGCAAACCTTATCAGTATATTCACTTACTATCAGAATGTTTTTCTATTGATAATATGATTAGGAAGTATATCGCTTTATATTAATAGAACTATTATTATAATTAAGGGTATTCATTTTTTTTTTCTTGGGACTAGTTAGAAAAACAACAGTTAAATATTCTTTTTTATTTCTAAATATTTTTCAATATAATTACTAATTTTTAAATTATTATTCGCTATTTTTGTCTTCATTTTTTCCAAATCTATCATTAGTGAGGAGTTTTCTTCTTGATAAGAAGCAACTTTCTCACTAATTAAATAACACTCTTCCTTTATTTGCTTGAATCTATTTATTTTCTCTTTGAGTTTTTTTAAAGTGTCCCCAAATTCCTTCTTTTCTATTGAATTCGCCTCTACTAATTCCGGCAAAATAGGCTAAAATAAAAGGAATATTCCAAAGTAATAAGAATTTTCAATTGATTTTACAAAACAAATATTAACATCAACTTACAAGGAGTTGGGGTAACTGCTTCTGTTGTTCTTTGGGTTGTTGTTGTATATGTTGATGTAATTGTAGTTGTTGTTCTATCTCCTGTTGTTGTTGTTCTATCTGCTGTTGTTGTTCTATCTGCTGTTGTTGTTCTATCTGCTGTTGTTGTTGTAAGTGCTGTTGTTGTTGTTGTTGTTGTTGTTGTTGTTGTTGTTGTTGTTGTTGTTGTTGTTGTTGTTGTTGTTGTTGTTGTTGTTGTTGTTGTTGTTGTTGTTGTTGTTGTTGTTGTTGTTGTTGTTGTAGTACTAGTTGATTTTGTTCTAGACTATTTTCCTATCGAAAAATAACATTTGATTATATTCAAAGAAAAAACAATATCAATATCGACTTACGAATATAACGTTTGACGAAAAATTCATGGATCTCATCATCTCATCAAAATCGTCTGCCGCTGTCAAATCAAATATATCTAGCATATCTCTTTTCTGAAAGAAAAATTATTAAATGTATAGGTATTAGGAATCCAAAAAATTATTATTGTTATATGATTAAATATTCTAATAGAAGCAAAAAAGTAAATTCAAAATTATAAAATTGTGTATCGTTCTGAGATTTTTTTTTATACTATCTGCACTCAAATTAATATTTTTTTAGAATTAACATACACTGCTGCAAATTATACTAATTTTCTTAAGAAGATAGAGACTAAAATACTTACTTTGTTTGAAACATCCAACGGTGATACTGCAACTTTATTTAATTTACACTTATTTTTTTTTTTAATGTTTGAATTTAGTTGGTTTGTAATTTTAATGTCGGAAAGAATTTTTACTTCAGATTTAACCATTATTTTTTTTTTAGAAAACTTTAAAAGTTCAATAGTAACTAAAAATAAAATAAATTGCTCCGCAGTTTAATACAAAAAAATTATCAGAGAATTTTATAAATATCCTAAAAAACAGGATGCAGTCCAAGATTGCATGGTCCTGCATTTTTGATTCTAAACTCTTGCATAATAAGAAAAACATACTGATAAAAACATAAGATTTGATCCATACTATCGCTTGGATTTTGATACGTTCAAAGATAATTAAATATATTTTTAAAAATAACATGAAAAGCCGAATTATCTTAAAAACAGGATGAATTCTTAGATTAGTTTTTTTATATTGAATAAGAATAGAAACTTGATTATTAAGGTAGAGCGAAAATACTTCTTTTTAATTCTAAATGTCTATAAAAAAATTGCATTTTACCCTTTGGAGTAATTCTGATCAACAACCGTGGTTCTGTCTAATAATAGTATTTACTTTTCTTTAAGTTGACTAAAATAAAATATTTTATTTTGATTTCTATTCCATAGATACTATTTAGTTGTGTTTCGAACATTTATTATTAGAATTCCAGAAGTTTAATATTTTGAGGTCAAAAAATTATCTCGCAATTAGATGAATATGTGAGAAACTAAGTTTATGTTCCTACATAATTATTTATATTATATAAAAATGTGAGGTGGGAAATTCGAACCTTATTCATAATAATTATTAAAAATAGATTCCGAAAATATATAAACTTATATAAAAAATGTCAGGTGGAGGATTCGAACCTTTCCAATCGTATTTAGAATTTTTAAATAATAAATTCTAAAAATAAATCTTTGATATTGATTTTAAAAATGTCCTTGACCTTGAAATTCAAGGTGGGTATTTCGAAAGTAGATATGTATGATCGAACCCTCCGCGTGGGTGGTGCGTGGGTGTATGTGTGACGGCCTTGGGGAGATTAGTGTGGGTGATGCATGTCAGGGGTGTGTGTGTTGAGATTAGGTGTGGCACTTGGGGGAAGGGGAGGGACGGGGGGGTGTGGATGATCATGTGTCTGGTTCTAAAAAATAAATCCTTGACCTTGACCGTAGCCTTGGCCTTGACCTTGGCACGTGGGATCCTTATCTTTCTTATCTTCCTTATCTCTCTTATCAGTGGCGTAAAAATGGCATAGATTATCTACTCTGGTGAATAATTTCTTCAGCAATAGGTTCTAGTATTTTCTTCCTTTTTTTATGACAGGAGATTTGGGAATATACATGGTATTGCTTCGTTCTTTAATCTCGGCCTTTCCCTTTTTATTTTGTTAACAGTACCATTATTTAAAATAATCTCATCAAATTTTAAAATATCTTCTAAAAAGTGTAGCT